CTAAATCGGGGTGGGAGGGCTCTGCCCACGCTGGCACCCAGGCGCTTGGGGGGTGCTTACCGGACACAGGAGAGGAGCTGAGGGCCATCACCCCGTAGTAGGAGAACGCTCCCGCTTCGAACTTCATGCATTCCTTGCCAGCCTCCACCTCCACCTTGCCCTGCCAAGGAGAAGATGGTCCGTAAGCCACGTGCCACAGCGCCAGGCTGGATGAGACCCCCTCCATCGCAGCCTTCCCGGAGTGCCAGTTCACCCCACGATGCCACCCCGTGCCCGGGTACCTGCAGGATGAGGATGAAGTAGTCGGCTGCTTTGTTCTTGCAGTAGAGGAAGTGGCGCGGGGATTTCTTGTTCTCCTCATCGAACTTGAGCTCCTGGATGACGTCGGAATATTTGAGGAGCCGCAGCAGGATCTTCTCCGAGATGAAGCTGGGGGTGAAGAGCGGCACCTCTGAAGGGCAGAGGGGAAAGGAGGTCAGAGCCACAGTCCTTGTCCTTCTCCTGTCCCTCCAGACGAAGGTACGTGCCACCCTCCAGACAAAGGTATGTGCCACCCTCCAGACGAAGGCACGTGCCACTTTGTCCCTTGGGGTGGTTCCCTGGATCAAGCTGGGCCCCATTGACACCCCCCTGGGGCAGAAGCCCACGGATCCAGCCCCAACACCAGCTCCAGCTCCGCAGCAAGGCCAGCTCCAGCCTCGGGGGCACACGTGCCAGCCAGGGAAGAGGACCATCCTGGAGGGACAGGGACCTGCCGAGTGCCAGAGGCAGGGCTGGCATCCCTCAGCCTCGTCCCTTCCCATTTTGGGGGGGCGACAGAGGGCAGGAGAGCACGACAAGAGGCAAGCGCCCCGTAATTTCGGAACAAAACGGTCGGAGTGGCTCTTCCTCCACGGAGGGATGGGAATGGAGCCCACATGGCAGCGCACGGAGCCCAACCAGGCTGGTACCGGGGAGCCAGACTGAGCCCAGGGATGCCCGGAGCCATGGGGGACTTCCCTTCCCAAAAAATCCTCACCTGTGGAGAGGAAGCGGTGAGCGGCCAGCAGCAGCTGCGGGGAGACCTTCACCTTGAGCTCGTTGATGGGGTCCTTGAAGGCCGAGAAGTCCCGCTTGCTCTTCTGGTTGCCCGCCCGCTTCTTGCTGCGGTTGTCGTCTGCGGGGAGCAGGGCGTCAGCGGGGGGGACCCCGGCACGCGACGGAAAGGGAGAGGGTCCCAGGCTCAAAACCTACTGTACGTATCCGACTCGTCCAGGATCTCCGACTTGATGATCTCCTCGATGACGTCCTCCAGCGTCACCAGCCCCAGCACCTCGTAGAAGGGATCTCCCTCGCCCTCGTTGTTCACCTTCTGCACGATGGCCAGGTGGGACTTCCCTGCGGACAGACACGCGGACGTTGGAGGGGAGACCACCCCCACGGCACCCCGAACCCCACCGCTGGCTCGCAGCACCCAGGGATGTCACCGGGA